GTCCAGATGTTTCAGTTTATATACTGTACATATATCAAGGCTGCCCAAACCTTTTCCCCAAAATAAAAATCTACCTGAGGTCTGCGGCCAAAAGCAATAAAATAATTCATGAAATACAAATACTTCTTAAGTACAGTCCTTTTATTTTGATGATTATGTCCTGCTGGAGTGTGACATGACTTGTTTGTGTACAAACTAATACAGTATCAGAGTTTCATACACTGCTCAAAAAAAATAAAGGGAACACTTAAACAACGCACCCTAAGTCCAAGTAAATCAAACTTTTGTGAAGCACATTCAACTCTGTACAGAACAAAGTACTCAATGCGAATATTTCATTGATTAAGATAGGGAGTTAGCGTGCGTTGTTTAAGTGTTCCCTTTATTTTTTGAGCAGTGTATTTATTCTTCTCATTCAACCACAATTAAATTCACTCTATCTAGGAGGGTCAATTTATATGGATAGTATTTATTTTTTTACAACAAGCTGGAATGAAAACAAGCTAAATGAAACAAAAGTAATGACTTTGTACTTCTTGCCTTTTTTAAAAAATGGAGTGAGTAGAAAGTACAGATAATTGTGTGAAAATGTAAGAAGTAGAAGTAAAAATTAGGCTGAAAAATAATTACTCAAGTGAAGTACAGATACCCAAAAAATTCTACTTAAGTACAGTAAAGAAGTATTTGTACTTAGTTACTTTACAACTCTGATTATTGGAACTCATATTTGGTTTGGTAAGTTCAGTGACCCTTGACCTCCATACACAGGTGACTACAATTATGAGAAAGGATATTTAAGGGAGGCAATTGTAAGTTTTTATCCTCTTTGCATCTTCTTTGAAGAGTTGCAGCATGGGAGTCTGAAAACAACTTTCAAATGAGCTGAAAACAAAGATTGTTCACCATCATGGTTTAGGGGAAGGATACAGAAARCTATCTCAGAGATTTCAGCTTTCAGTCTCCACTGTGAGAAACATTGTGAAAAAAATGGAGGACCACAGGCACAGTTCAACTGTACAGTAGGCTCTAAGTGGCAGACCAAGACAAATCTCCAATAAACAGAAGCGAAGGATGTTGAGAACAGTCAGAGTCAACCCACAGACCAGCACCAAAGACCTACAACATCATCTTGCTGCTGATGGAGTCACTGTGCATGTGACGTGCCCCTGTGTCATTTTACCTGTCTAATTGTCTGATGTCC